ATTTCCGCGTCGACCATATAGAAGGAAAATTATCTTTCAGAAAAATGACTTTGTAGTGTTTTGTAGCTTGGCGAAAATCCCTATTTACTTCTCCTTACAGTGAAAACAATTACACTGAATTAAATGTATAAAGTTTGAGTTACAACGATTACCCAGTCTTCTCCTAATGATATTTAGTCTCCGAATTTAAACACCAATTTTTATGAAGAAACATAGTAACACAGTTTCATTAACAGCACTTTCTTCAGTTTTGATTAAAACTACTTATACAGCCACTCATTTCTGCAATTAATCTCATAATAATAAAACTCCCATGCAATTGGTACATAAAATTTCTCTTTCATTACTACATTGTTTCTCGTAAATGTACGGCACTCTGCCACCTTCTCAATATAGCCCAAGAGAATAAACCGTAAGCCTCGGAATGATTATAAGACAAAATATTGCATAAACATTTGATATGACGTTATATGATTTGGTTCAAAAGTCTCGTACAACCTTGTATCGACATTATTCAACGTCAATCATCAAAAAGATCGGTTTTGCAAATATCTTGCTTCCCTTGCATCGTATAACATTTGGACTTATTAGAAACATTATAAACATTTAATTCCAACAAGTTCTGGTATACAGGGTGTCCCATTTTGATATCCCCACCTAAATATTTCGAAAATTACGCATCCTAGAAAAAAAATTTGGTAAACAAAGGCAGTATGGTTTCCAGAGGACAAAATATTAGTGACCATGACTTCAATCGCAACAATCAAGATTATATGAGTTTCACGTGAATATTTTCAAACTCCTTTGTTCCATCGGAACTGAAATGAAGAGGATTTTTTTCGTCTAGTATGACCCTGGCCATGTCAAGGTCAAATCAGGACATTGGACACAATTTGCTCCAAAAAATGTCCCTCGGCACAGGTGAAAAGGTTGTCAGGGTCACCCAAAGGTGTCTTTTCCAGGACCTTCACCATGACTTTCAAGTAAATAATTTAAAAAAAAATATTCATTTTTATACTAAAATTGGAAAAATACAGAATGTGACCTTGATCCCTGAGCCAAGCCTGAATGTTATTTGTAAAGCATCTCCTTGATTTTGATGCCAAAATTGCAGAAATCAAGTAAATTCCATATTTGAACGTGCAAACTCTCAATGAAGTAAATGAGTAAAATAACATTTGAGCTTAATATGACCTTGAAGATTATATTTGGTCCTCTTTCGGTGGCGCTCACCAAACCTCACAATTTTGGTGTGGAACATTTTTGCTGGATTGCATCGTTGATGTGGCTTTTAGACGAGCTTGACCTTAAGACATAACCTATATTTTGAAGTCAAGGACACATCCGAGCGTAAAAATTTTCTGTCCTTCCCAATTCCACAAATAAAATGAGGGATTTTCTTTGAACACTTTAACCTAACCTTGGTCAAGGTCATACATCTGTGTTGACGAAGATTTTTCCTAGAGCAAATTATTTTGAATGTCTTGACTTGAACTTGAAATCTTGAGTTTGAAGGTTATTGTAAAGGTCATATTCGGACGTACAATTTCCTCATCTTTTCAATTTCGATGTAGAAAGGGCCCCATTTGATATTCAGTTGGCCATGAAAAGTATGGCGACAAGTAAGTTTACTTTACTACTTTTCACGTAACGCTGTCATCAGTTCATAAAGAATTATGCTTGCACAAGGTAACCCTTCTGAGATAAAGTTTAGCTACAAACATGAATGACAAAAAGTGGATCACATTAGTCACGGGCTCGTACAGTTAAAGGTTGGGGCATTTTAAGATTTGGCTCCTCTAAGAAAATATGCTACCCCCCTCTTAAAAATGTTTTGGAGGCATGCTCTCAAATGATCGTTGCTATAGCTAATCCCGCGTGGATGACGATATTGACGTTCAACATACACAGCAGATGCACAGCAGTCGAACACCAACTGCCGACCGCGATGCACGTCTATCGGCAGAGTTAGATACTTGTAAGGTTTGATCGAAAATGAGTGAATATGTATATCTATAAGGTGTCTAGAAGTATTCAGCTTGGAGTCGTATATACAGGGTGTTTCAGTTTATTGTTGCATAACTTTAAGATTCGATAGAACTTTTAAAATTAATGTATAAAGTCTATATAAACATGGGTCGAAAAATGCGTGGCTTCCGAAATACAGGGTGTTTAAATTTACTTTCTAAAATAGTTTTTTTAAATATTTCGAACAATATTTGATATATAACAGTGAAAATTGGTATACAAGGGTTTTTTGGTACGACAAAACGAACCACGGGCATAGTTTTACTGTAGCCGCTAGAGGGCGCTCTCTACTGTAGCTGTAGTATATTAAAATGACCGAAAAATTTTTCTTAGTGCAATTTTTTGCTTTTGGAATAAAAAATACTGATTCTTCGCACTTTTCAACATAAAAAAGCTCTCCTGTGAGTTTTCGTTATAGTTAGCCGTTTTTGAGATATTTCGATTTTTAAGGTTCGATGCATTTTTAATTATTTATGGGCAAATAATATTTTTTTTACATTTTCGATTTGGGCATTACAAGTAATTAAGATGATCGTTTAGATTGTGTTTTTAAACACAGCAATAACTCCTAACTCCAAATAAACACAAAAAACAGAATATTAATTTGTTAAATTTTCCAATATTATTTTTAACAACTTAAATTAATTATTTGCAAACATACAAAATCTAAAGTAGTTGCTCGAAATGTAAACAAAATTGTTCAATACACAATTCACATCTACGAATGATCGAACGTGGTATAGCATTATTCAAATAAGGCCTTATTTCATCACATGCATTCCTGATTCTGTCTGTTAGCATATCTCTTGTGGTTACGGGAGTCTGGTACACTTTTTCTTTTAGTAATCCCCACACAAAGAAATCTAATGGATTTAGGTCAGGGGATCGTGGAGGCCAGGCGACTGGTCCTCCACGGCCGATCCATCTTTCTGGATAATTTTCGTCCAGCCAGTTTCTAACTATTCGCGAATAATGAGCTGGACAACCATCAAGCTGGAACCAGGCCAATCTTCTTAAATCTAACATAACATCATCCCACATATTTGCATGTTCAGCCTTTAAAAATTCCAAGAAGGTCGCAGCATTTAACCTTGCAGGCAAAAGGTAGGGTCCAAATAGTCGATTACGGTAGATACCAATCCACACGTTCACACTAAATTCATGCTGAAAATTTCTTTCCCGAACTGCATGCGGATTTTCATGCGACCAAATATGTTGATTATGAAAATTTACCATTCCACGTCTAGTGAAGCATGACTCATCGGTCCATAAAACGTTACTTAAAAACTCCGTATTATTATCAGTTCTATCAAGAATCCACTGACAAAATGTGATTCTTCGTTCTCCGTCCCCTGGCTGTAGTCCTTGCACAGGTTGCAAATGGTAAGGACGTCTATGGTCATTTCTAAGAACACGGTGAACATGGCTTGCTGAAATTCCCAAGGCACCAGAAACTCTCATAACACTTGTGGTCGGATCTCTATCAAACTCACGCAGAATCATATGGGTAAATCTGCGCTGACGAACATTTATGTTTTAATCCCTTTGGAGATTTCCAAAACCATTTTCAATTATTTGGCGATGCACTCTTACAAATACTGAGCGAGTTGGATGTCGTCTGTTTGGAAATCTTCGTGCGTAATCTCTGGCTGCTTCTGCTGCGTTTCCATTTACAAAGCCATACACAAAATGAATATCCGCTAACTCTTGATTGGAGAATAAAAATAGCATTTTTATAAAATTTACAAAAGAAACAGGTAAAAGAAACTAAATTTCGTGCATTCATAATTGCAAAAAAACGTTTCAGGTTTCAACAGACAACAAAACTAACTGTCAACTAATTGACGTTTAACCTTATTCTGTTTTCAATTTCAAAAATATTTGCAGGCATGGCCTACTTCTAAAAATTATCGAGATACTGACTTTTTAACGTTATTTTATCATAAATAATTAAAAATGCATCGAACCTTAAAAATAGAAATATCTCAAAAACGGCTAACTATAACGAAAACTCACAGGAGAGCTTTTTTATGTTGAAAAGTTCAAAGAATCAGTATTTTTATTCAAAAAGCAAAAAATTGCACTAAGAAAAAATTTTCGTTCATTTTAATACACTACCGGTACAGTAGAGAGCGCCCTCTAGCGGCTACAGTAAAACTATGCCCATGGTTCGGTTTGTCGTACCAAAAAGCCCTTGTATACCAATTTTCACTGTTATACATCAAATATTGTTTGAAATATTTAAAAAAAACTATTTTAGAAAGTAAATTTAAACACCCTGTATTTCGGAAGCCACGCATTTTTCGAACCATGTTTATATAGACTTTATGCATTAATTTTGAAAGTTCTATCGAATCTTAAAGTTATGCAACAATAAACTGAAACACCCTGTATATATACCATCGTCAAAAAAATTATTATACCCTTCCCCACACCCTAATGCCATCCTACAAAAGCTTTGCGGAAAATGATCAGGAGCATCTGAAACATCAAAAACGAATCTATTGCGATTTGCTTTTTCCGTTTATATCATGTATCTCCGCCGCCACTGCACCGATTTTCAAACACTACAAATCTGTTTCGTCCCTGGAATGGGAGTGACCTTCTGTGAAAAGTTTATCTAAATTCGAGCGGTACCTTCCAAGTTATAGACGGACCAAGGATTAGCGGACAGACAGACAGTCCGACGGAAATGAGTGAGAATGGTTTTTCGTGATGTACATATATAAAATCCAAAGAACATCTCATTTTCCAGCGATTACAACACTTCCGCACCAGTTGGCCTGGCAGGTACAACCCTTCTGAAAATCGAGCTTGAATAACGAGATTACACTAGAGTTTAGACCCTAAAAATAGGATGTCAAGACGAGGCTCCATGTAACTATTTCGTTCAGATGCTTATCTTATTTTACTGAACTATAACACATAAACACATGTAAGCCTTTATACAAACATGTTTTCCTTTTGTTACAGAATTATGCCTCCTGTTAGATGGAAAGAGCTCCTATTTGGTGAGTTTGCAATCCTATTGTTCTAGGAGTGTTAGAATGTGTTCGCCAGTTACACAACAGATTTAATCGAGGATTCAAGATGAAGATGTGTACATACGCTTTGTCCTAATTTGACAATTTATTGTTTGTAACAATCAAGTATCGCTTATTACTTAACAAAACCAAATAAATATGCAGTGTGATACAGAAATTTAAAATACGTATTTGTAATATTTGCAACTTCCGATTTGCTAACATGAGTAGTCAACCTTCAGCTGATTGGGTGAACCGAAAACGTATCCGATGATTCCAACGAATTCGAGTAGAATTTGTTTATCATTGCAGACCATTGTGTACATTCTTTTCTCTGGAAAGGATATTCAAGTAGCCATTCGTGAGTCAAGGTCAAGAATACTGTCTGTATTGCGATGTGAATCACTCAGTTATTGTTAATAAACAAGGATAAATTAAATAAGACAAAAAAATCAAAACAATACAAGACCATCAAACAGCAACAACGGTAGAATACCTGATATTGGAAATAGTGGGACACCTTGCATGAATTTTACTCGGTTTTTCTAAATAGTTGTCGTGATCCGAACAGATCCTTTGCTAAAAGCAAACACCTTGTTGAGCATAATATGGAAATTCCTGCTATTATATCATTGTCACTATATTTAGTAAAAAGATGTTGAATTGTGTCAATTAATTTGATATTCATCTTTTTGAACGTACTGAGCTTCCTTCACAGAGTCTCATGGCACTAGAGAGAGATCGTAAAATACTTATATACTTATACTCGTATAACTTTAAACGCAAAAATACTTTTCTTAAGAAATTAGATGTAGACTTAAAGTAAATAAAGTTAAGTTTCAGTTTAGTTTAGTTAGATTAAATTTTTGGTTGAGCCTTATGGGTATGCATACAAAAATTCGGTTTGTCCCCAATGTTTTGCATTTTTCAATGTCGTTGTCAGTTATACATTTCTTTTAACAGTTCTTAGATTGAGATTTATTGCTCAATTAAATAAATACATGCCGTTTCGCAAAGCCGATGACTATAATATATAACGCGATAAAAAGGTTTGATCTTAATCAATTCAAAGAGTTTTTTGCCATCCACAGAAACCTTCATCATTTTTGGCAACTGTCTGGAACGCCAGGCTTGTGTGAAATCCACGTGTTTTTGTATGTTTTCGTAGAAAAGTACTAGTTTAATGTGAACTGTCAAAGTGGCAGATTGAGTCTTACTCTGACTACTGACTACGTAGGGTAACTATGCCTAAGTCGTACCCCTAAGACATTTTTATTTTATAGGGATTGTTAATACTTGAACAACAACAACAAGCATATAAACGTAAACTTCATTTAATTCTTAAGCTTATGGTTACAACTCAATACACATAGGAACTTAAAAAAACTGAAAATTTTCAGTTTCAAAAAATCGTGTAAAAAGGACGAAATAGTACTCCAGCACATAGTTCATGTACCCATAACTTGCAAACTGTGCACTGAATCATTCTTTCTTTTCTATTTTCGTTACAAGTTATGCAGTGCCATTCTTCATTTCCACAGCTTTCTGGTGTCACCTTTTTTTTTTGTTGATTGTTTTTGATTCCTTTAATTTATTCTTATTGGCGTATCCTACTTTTCCCTTGGCTTCTTTATTTAGGTTTAATTTTACTTTCTTCTTCTCATTTTCATCAATTTTATTTCCTATGTCATTTTTGTATGGACTTTCGGTTAAAACTTGAGCTGGTATAGTACCCTTTGACAGCCCATTTTGTACGAATTCTTGGAATTGGGAAAGGTTCTGGAGATGAGACCTTATAAGATGGGCTGAATCTTTTGGCTCACCTATTTTATGAGCAGAGCTAACGATCTTTTTTAAGGGCATTGTTTTATCTACGAAAACACTCACTGATGAATCTTCAATGTCTTTAAGATTTAAAAATTTGGATTCTGTTATTCCACCACTGCTTGTGGATCATCAAATGGGTATATATGTCCTGTGGTAGCTTCCATTATCCTATTTTCTGAGGATCTTTCATGTTTGTTAATGGTTTGGTGTGTTAAAGTGCCAGTTTCATCATTACTTCCATCCAAAGTGCTTCTATCGTCCTCTTCGAAACTTATATCCATTGCAACATAATCTTCCCAGATCTTATGACGATCAGGTGGCCACAAGCCACAAGCTTCAAATCCGTGCAGTACTGTAACCATAGAAGCTGCTCTGAGATATGCTACGCATAAAGGTTCAGCAATATCTGTCTGTTTTATAGCGCTGTGCGGATGTGTGCGCATCCATCCCCCTGACGCTTTATTAAGATGGTGCTTTAAAGATTTAAAAAACGATTTGTCCAAAGGTTGAAGTCGGTGCGTGGTGTGTGCCGGGATGGATAACATTATAATTCCGTATTCTCTTGCAAGTCTTATGTTTGTATTATGTTTTTCGTGTGAGTGGAGTGACCGTCTAGGATCAAGAGCATTTGTTTCTTCTTACTTTTTTCTAGCCTAGTACATCCTATTAAATGTTTTAGCCATTCTAAAAACAGTTCAGAGGTTATCCAACCACGCAAGTGTATAGAGTATTTGGTGGGCTATCCGTTTTAAGTACATCAGACATACGTTTTCTCTTATAAATTAACATTGGAGGTATAAATTCTCCGGCGGCGTTTATGCAACAAACACAAGTAGCATCTGAACCTCTTTCTCCACTGGTTACAGCGCCTACTTGTTGCTTTCCCTTTTTGGCTAAATTTTTTGATGGTTTGTGGGCAGTGCTCAACCCAGTCTCGTCAACGTTTAGGATTCGATGGGTTAGAAATTTATGCTCATCAAGTATTTTTTCATATTTGTCAAAAAAATCCGTAACTCCTTATTTACTAAATCCTCTGCAACTGGCCATTGACGTTGGCTCAGGTCTTCTTAAAGAGATTTCTGGATGGTCTTTCATAAATTTGTAATACCATTTCCAACCCACCAATTGTTTTTGTATTTCTCGGCAAGTTGGTAGGCTAAGCGACGCAAATCTTTAATTGTTAGCCCAAACAAACGTGACTCCAGTTCCAGAATATGTTGCACCAATTCTTCCTCCATGGTACCCGTTAGGTCTTTCGGTCTTTCCATGGTTTTGTGTTTATTTAGATTTTTTAAATGACGCCTGAACGTAGGTTTAGGAATATTATATGTACGACAAATTTCATTAATGCCCATGTTTCTGCTTTGATATTTGTCCAGAGCTTCATTCATGTAAGCCGTGACCAGGCATTATATATCCTTTTCGGCATTGTTATCTGAAAAAAAATGCAATTCAAACTCCCTTACAATAATCACTGAATAACAACAAAAGTTTGTTAAACCAAATTTAATAATTTTCGGGTATTTAGATTAAAAAAAATAAATATGCTATCTTACAAAGCTAGACTTGCAGTTCTATTAGGCTCTGTAAATGAATCATATAAAATAAATTCCAATAATATAAAAATATGCGTAAATCGTACCAGTACGAAATAGGAATACATGTAGAGGTACGTTTTAGTCATATGACCAGATTTAATATTTTAAGTCTGTCAATGTTTGAAGACCTAACCTATCATAACATAATTTATAAGCATTTCTCCCTAAATGATGTTACTTTTTAGAGGTATAACTAACCAAGTCTTTGTTAATATATTCCTTTACAAATAAAGCCACATATAACAGTAATTCGGGTATGAAATCACTTTGTTAAAATTTACCGGCTAAGCAAACTTACACAGTGCAGGTCATGAGAATACAACATGGCCGATACGTGAGTCCTCGATTGCCACCAAGAGCAGCGCTGCTAGACATAATAGGAGCGAAATAAATATGAATGAGGTACGATTTAGGAGCAGGTACGATTTAAGCATAGTTACCCTAATTTTGGCGACAAACAAATCAAGAACTTGCTCTTTCTATCTAATCCAAATTCATTGGATGAATGTCAAACTTTTCTAACGCATCGTAAATGAGATTTTAGCTTTCGATGTCAACGTAACCGCTACTTTAAATTTCAAACGCTTATGGCCCACCCTGTAGTACAAAAATAAGAATTATATGTATATCTAGAAGCTAAAGCGATTATAATTTGTAACATTGTACTTCTTTTACAGTAGCGGCAATGTCGATATATCAGGTTCTCACAGTCGCAGATGCTCATCGAAATATGCAGGTAAATGCCATTAGCCTCATTCTACTTTATTAATAATATCAACGCCACGATGAAAACACATAAGTAACGTGTTTTCATTCAAAATTTATTACAGAGAATCAGAACACCAGAGGGGCGATATTTTCTGCGTGATGGTCTAATAGACTGCCTCAAAGAGGACCTTTCATATACAGGCTGTCCCAAAAGTTATGGAGCAAATGAAACCATAAAAACCATAGATGTCATCCAATTGTGGACGGTTTTTGAGTTATCGCCATTTTTTAGAATTTGTGATAATTCAGTTTTCAATAAAAAAATTGGATGGCATTATGAACACGCTGATTGTAAAGCATCAGGAACGTTTCTCTGACTTGGAAGCGACAGCTTTATGTTAGTCAATAATTGAAGTTATCCACGGTGGGGTGGAAGAATATCGCCCTCATATAGTGAAAATAGACTTTTGTCAATAGCAAATGACTCCAAGGCAAAGGCCGAAGTGCTTGTCAAGATCTTTGCTGCTAACTCCACTCCACTGTGACTACACTTCAGGCATAAAACTGTAAGATGGGTACTCTTTCGGATATGTTACGAACCCCGTACTTTCCTAGAGAACTGGTAATTTGTTTATGTTTACAACTACAGACTGTGAATTCGTACCTTCTGTGATCAGTAAGATAATGAAGATGCATTAATCAGGTGCTTATGGAATATCAAACCTCTTCTCCATAATACCGCCGCGCATCCCAACCTATATCAGTCTGTCGAACTTGACATCCAAAATTGGCTAGTGCGACCGCCCCTTTGTTTCTAGGGTGTCGTGATTGTGGAATTATCTGTCTGAGGAGGATTTTTCCAGTTTTGCTAACCTTAACCAGTTAAAAAATCCTATCTTTAAGCTCCCAGTGACAGTTGCGATACCCCTGTTTAAGCAGCTGCAACAGTATGAAAAAGTATCTAGTTTATTTCATTTTAAAGATATCGGTGAAACAAATCAGGGTGTTCCTTAATGATATGCGAATATTTAATGGTATGAATCTACATGAAAAATTAATGTAAGTTTGCTATATAAACTATGGTCCAAAAATGTTTCCTTACAAAAACTCGGGGTGTTGAAGTTTTAGGAAAAAAATGGAAATTAATTAATATTTTCAGAACCTCTTCAGATATTTCAATGATATTTAGTACGTAGTGAAAGTTGATCAAGTTGCATATTTTTCGATGCAACAATAATTTTTAGCTTTAACAGTGGCGTGCGTACGGGTATTGACTTCGATATTTTTTAGGATAAAAATGGTAAGCCGAAGGTTTTTTGTCAAATAAAATTCACCGTTCAATTTAAAACAAATGATCTCTCCTGAATTGTTCACCTTCGATACGCCATTTTTGAGTAAAAAAATAAAAACCGTTCTATTGTCTAACTTGCAAAATTATTATTAATTTAATTGGAAAAATTAAACACATTAGGGGTAATGAACAACAATAACTGACAACATAAACATAACACTAAAACCAACGAAATGATTAAAAAAATTGTTGAAAATGGCGCCCTTCACTTAGTATGCATGCTTCCGCCCTCCTCTTGGAATTGCGCACTCCTTGAAATATCCCTGGAGTGTTTTTTATTCTATCACAAGCTGCAACTATTCTTTCTCTAAATTCCTCTACAGTGTTAATGGGACTTATGTACTCTAGTGTCTTAAGATAACCCAACAAAAGGAAATGTACTGTGTAACAGTTGAGGTCTGGGGACCTTGGTGGCCATTCTTGGGGCTCACCGCGGTCAATCCAACGATTTGGATAAACAGTTTATAAATAATTACGAATTACGTTAACCGAAAATTGATGTTTTAAATGGGTTTCGGTTACGGCAGAGAGATTTTCTTCTGCCAATAAATGACTATTGTGGAAATTCTGAATGGCATTTCGAGACAAATTAGCTTCGCCCGTGAACAGAATAATTGATTCAAATTGCGGAATTTGTGTGATTTTTTGAAGATACCACTGAGAAAAGGTCACACGCCATGGAAAATCAATGGGAAGTAATGCCTGCACTCTCAAATATGGTAAGGATATAACAAAAATCCACTAAAATTCTCTAAACAATTTGCTGGCAAATATATATAGCGATCTTCCTCGTACTCGTTTCAGGATGTTCTTCGACTTCGTGCAGCACTGCTTCCTCAATTCCAGGTGTTCTCACACTTAGAAGTCTACCTTCAGAACCAGTTTCAACAAGACGACGATAAATATTAGAAAAAAATCATGATCGGGATATTTCTGGTGTTAAATCCGTCTGGCTTGCTCACCATTACCGTCGCCAAGGCCATATACGTAATGCATTTCCGCCATTTCTGCATTTGAATAATTCACCATTATTAACAAGATTGTAAAAGCTAAATAATGAAAAAGATATCACATCGAACATTGAATAAAAGAGACTTGTCAGATGTCAAAAGCCAATGACATATTCCAGAGCAACTAGATATTTATTGCTAAATTGCATTCTTCAATTATTACATTAATTTTCTCGGAAAATAGAACGGTTTTTATTTTTTTTACTCAAAAACAGCGCATCGAAGGGAAACAATTCAAGAGAGATCATTTGTTTTAAATTGAAGGGCGAATACAAAAATAATTTTTAGTTGGCAAAAAACCATTGGCGTACCAGTTTTTTCTTACAAAATGTCGAAGTCAATACCCGAACGCACGCCACTGTTAAAACTAAACATTATTTTTCATTGAAACATATGCAGCTTTATTAACTTCCACTACGAACTAAACATCAGTGAAATATCTGACGCAGTTCTGAGAATATTAATTAATTTCCATTTTCTTCCTAAAACTTCAACACCCCGAGTTTTTGTAAGGAAACATTTTTGTCTATAAACCAAGCTAACATTAATTTTTCATGTAGATTCACACCTTCAAATATGCGCTTATCATTAATATATAATCCATTCCGTGTCTCCTGGTCTGGTAGAGTACATAATTTAAGACCTAATACTGGGATGAAATAAAAGTTATATGGTTTGCTTTCATCTATTCCATTTCTTGATACTGTTCCACTTTCTGTTCTCAGGATGCCATCTCGATTTCAGCCGACGGCTGGCGACCCATCGTCGGAACGAGAAGGCAACCCCCTGCGTTCAACTCGGATGCCCGGATCACGCAGTACAAAAATCCAAGTCAAGTTGAGATTGTCAAGGCTGAAACGAAACTACTGAGCTCTTCCAACGCCTCAACGTCTCCTGAGAAGTCCACCAGTAAGCCATATGTCGTGGAGAATTTGAATAACATCAATGCGGATCATGGATCTCGATTGAATGGTAACAAAATCAGATCGATAATTGATAGATGATTGATTCTTGTGCTAGTTAGGCTCACTGAAAGCTGAATATATCATTTATACATGACTTAATTAATGTTTATTCTACTCAGAGAGAGAATGTACAACAGCTTAGATAATGCGATAATGTATATGGTCTCGATAGTTCTAATTAAATAGAGAATTCAGTGAAAACATAAGCTAATTATTCATAGGAATGCCATCTTTCTAATTTCTCATTCATTCAGAGATTACAAAAAAAAGTTTTGGATAGAATTATGATAGCTTCACCTAACATGCTTAAGCTTTAATGGATAAAGTCGAAACTGAACTATTTAAATATAGGCTCCATTACCAATGTGTCGTAACATTTTTTTTAACAAGCGTTCCGTTTGTAGATCAACATTCAATCAATAGGCTTTCAAATGCAGGCAGGCAGCAGCGGTGGCCGGAGTAGTAGACTCTTCGGTCTCCTGATCAGTCGCCGTGCGCTGTGCGGGTTCGAGTCCCGTCCCAGGAGAAATTTTTCTCTTGTCTGTGGATGTTGTGATTGTCCGTAGGTGGTAGACGGTCTCTGACTGTCGAACGTGGAGGTACCACCCGGCGGATCTCGTAGGCGGAGCCAGAATGTGTGCATGTTGCATGCACACGTGTTCCCTCGCCAGAGTCCGTGTGGCGTTTCCCCTTTCCCATGTATCACCCTATAGCCCCACGGTACCCAATGGATGCTTAGGCCTTAGGCCTTCGTGGTAGTTGGAGTATAAAAAAAAATCAGGGTCGTTATTTATTGAATTTCAGTTAATTGATAGCTTTGGATGGCTCCAAAGGAAATAACCTGGCAAAGTTAAGTCCACAAACCATACAAATCATAAGTGATTTCCATATATTTCTGTTATAAAATCCTGAGCAATCATAGTTAAGCTGTTGAAAGTAGCTCAGTAAGATATGGCCCTAGTTTATCTGAAGTCTGTGACGACAAGATTGCACATTTGTATTCTGTCCGTAGGTACTTATTTTGAACGGTTTTTTATAATTAAAAGGTATCCATAGATATTACTAATACAGGTACTACTTCGCGGAAATTTTTACATCATGTTACTTCTAAACGATTCATTCGTTGTCCTTTGTCGATGTTACAGAGACACCGGGAACATCGGCGGTTTTTAGAGAAAATTTTATGGACTGATGAGTCTATATTTAAGTAAGATGGTTACATGGATCTACGCCCTTTCCCACTTCAGTTGACCCAACTATTGAAATCTTAGTTTTTTTCTTATCAAACACAACTAATAAAAATGTAGGAGCGTGTTATAGGTTTAAAATATTATCAATGAATATTTGGATAATATATAGTAGAAAACACCAACTTTATCACCCCCTAATCAAATTTGCAGCATAAAAATAACACATGTTGCAATTACAGCATATCAACCTATTTTCATTTAAATGCAAAATAAGTCTATAACGCAGAAATTGCAACTTTGTTAGACTTATCGCGGTACAGTATGAGAAATATTGTTAGAGGATATAACCTAACTGGTTCAGTTAATATTAAGCCACGATATATGAAAAAAAGTAATATCACAAATGCCGACGGAAGAGCATTAAGAAGAATAATCGTGAAAAACAGGCGTGCCAATTATTTACAATTAAGTGCTCTGTGGAGTGACGCTGTTGGAAGGAGAATTTCGAGGTCCACAACTCATAGAGAGGCCCACAAACTGGGATTTAGCACTTGCAAGGTAAGTTTTCTTATAAAAAAAAAGTGAAGTAAAAACCCTAAAGTTGCACAACTTGTTTATAGGCCAAAGAAAAGCCACTATTAACTCCACTGCAAAAGAAAAATCGGCTTAAATGGGATAAAGGACATAGACAATGGACACCTCAACAATGGTGTGCAATACAATAGAGTGATGAGGCCCGATTCGAAGTTTGTGTTGGTGACAGTCGCAGTAGAGTTATTCGCAAAAAAATAAAGCATTCCATGTTGACTATCTGAAGAGAAAAGTGAAATTTCCAACATCCATTATGGTCTGGGGCAGTATGTCATCAAAAGGAGTAGGAAAACTGCATTTTATTGATGGAAATGTGGATACAAACAAATATTTGGCAATTTTAGAAGAATCGCTTTTACCAGTGATGGAAGAATGTTTGACATCCGGCCAAGATTTTGTGTTTCAGCAAGATGGTGCAACGTGCCATACCTCAAAAAAGGCTATAAAATGGATGGAAGAAAATAATGCACCACTTTTGAAGTGGGTTTCTAGCAGTCCAGATCTGTCACCTATTGAAACTTTGTGGCACGACAACATCCTGAAACAAAAGCTTCAAGAAACATGGGATTGTTTCACACCAAATTTTTGCCAAAACTTGGTTAACACTATGCCCTAAAGAATTTCAGCCGTAATAAAAAATAAAGGTGATGTTACCCAATGGTAATCTTTCAATTGTTGCTTTCTTAACTTCGCGCATTTATTCGCACATTGTTTATTTGTTCAGGTGTTCTATTAGTTATAGGTCTAAGTGATTTCGAATATGTATTTTTTACGACTAGAGTGTATCTAAGATGTTTTTGCGAAAATAAATTGTTTTAGAAGTAAATAGTTTCGTCATGTTTAGTTTATAAAGGCATATTTTGGTACAAATCCTGAAGTGGGCCAACTGAAGTGGGAAGGGGCTCGTACTTACACGAGTGACATGCAGAAAATCCACATTTGATGAGACAAGATAGATCACAGTATCGTTTTAAAATAAACATGTGGACCTAAATTCCAAATGGGAAAATTATTGTACCCACTAAGCATGTACAGAGACATGTGGTACCAGCGAGACAGCTGCCCGTCGCACCATGCCCGTTGAGCTAGAGAATATCTTGATGCGGAATTCTCGAGCAGAAGGATAGGGGGTCTGGTACAATTTCGTGGCCAGCCCGTACACCTGATTTAAATCCACTCGAATTCTTAACTGGATAGTGGCGAAACAAAAGGGTTTAGCCAACCGAAAATGTAGCTGAGCTACGGGACAGAACAACGGTAACAGCTGAATTTATTAATAACAGAAGATTCGCCCGTCTGAGAACTCGATAATTTTTAGGCTGTCAAGCTTGCATTGCTGCTGGAGGAAGGCAGTTTGAACATTAATAATTGTGAATTAAACAAATACATTCACGAATTGATAAAAGTGGCGACACTTGCTGTTTCTTAATGACAATGTCCGTCACTCCGTGTGAGAAAAAAATTTAAATTTGTTGTAATGGGAACTGAAAGATCATCACAGGGTGCAGATTTTCCGATTTTTTTAAAGCTTATAATTTAAAAAGTACACGATTTAGATTTTTTAATATTTTTCTGATAACTATTATGACTTGGCCTATGCCCGGTTTCCGGCTTGACGTCGACTTCTATAACACCCTGTATTCATGTTTCCACAAATCCATGCACTTTTATTAATGTAGCTCCTATTCTGTTGCCCAGTCACCCTCCTTCACGTATCTCACGCCTTACGATATTCTTAAATACCTCTATGGTTGTGCTTTCTTTCAGGTGGCTCCAAGATCCCACCCCACACCAAACACGCCCCAATAAACCCCCAATACCCACACAACGGCGGCTATCACACCATCCCCACAGCGACCCATACGCCACCAAAAGTGGTGATAAAGAGCGTCACGCCAGGTCGACCGTTACCGTTGGTGATAAAGAAGATCACCTCGCCACCACCACCGAGGTTTCAACAGCAGTTGCAGCCGCAACCACCACAAAAGCAGAAGCTGAAGCCCTTGAGGGGGCCGTTAGGCCAGCATAGCACCAGAGAGGAGGTGTACGTTCCAGGTCCAGGCGGCCCAGGTGAGCGCAATTTAATAAACTTTGCCCCAAAATGGGTTCTTCAAAATTTTCTTTTGCAATAAAACTGGCTTTTAGTCTACTGCACCTCCGGTCTTAAGGCCGTAGAGCATATGATGTGCCCTAAGGGATCTTTCGTAGTTATTAATTCACACCACTCCACCCCAATAGAAAATCGAATAATTGCTAGATCTAGCTCGATAGGGATGACCCTGCTGTATAGTCTATGAAGAGAAAATTGGACCTTGAATTCTTTGTAGATTAAGAAGCTTCACGTATGAAAAACTGTTGGTTACGGAAATGTTGTTCAAGCTCCAAAATTCAGCGGTTATGAAGCAATTTTTCTGCCTGGACAGCGATTCGATAATTCGGACCAAGGAAAGCTGTTCCAACAGCTTAATGACCGCGGAGTCGGATCTTTCTGATTGTTCTATCATTAGTTCACTATTTCTCTTTCAGGCAGCTACCAGTTCATCAGCCATCCCTCCAGTAACGTGAAGATTCGGGAAGCACAAGGTCTTGGTCTGCTGGGCACCAATCATTACTCCGTCAACCAACCTCATGGTCACATCGAGTTCACAAATCGGTTTCCGTCAAACAATGGTCATTTTGAGCAGTTCAAAAGCAACCCGGTTACCTACATTTTCTCAAAATCCCAGCCGCAGCAATTCAAAAATCAGGTAATGATAGGTTTTCGAATACACCCATAGTCATGTTCCAAGATTCCAAGCCATTTTAGCCAGTTTGACTCAATTTTCAATCCACTTGACTTAACCTGACTCGGACTCAAGTTATTTCAAGTCAAGTAGCAACCTTATAAGACAGACACCAAGAAAAGGAGTAACCGACGTCATTGGAGGGACTAATGAAAATAATCCGGTGAAATTAGCTTCGAAAGTTTGAACGGAAGTAGTCATCGAGAAGGTTGTTGAAAATATTTCAGTAAGAGCCAATTTCACCATCGTTAATCAGTATGGACCAATAGGAAAAGATTTTATTGAAATGTAATTTGACGGAAGCTGTCAAAGCTCTCTGAATATCAGTGATTTCAGCTGAGATATTGAATAAAATCGTGAAAATTCGACTGTATTATAAACAAAACCTCTTTTGGATTCCAACATGATGCTTTTGTACACAGAAAACAGGACAACTTTTATGTATTTTGATTTCTGTTATAAATTTACATTTATACAACCAGTTATCCCCTAAGCCAATGGGAATGCGGCAAATAATAGGTCGATTTTCTAGCTGTTAAATTTAGCAGCAGGTTTGGACGTTTGTTAATGCATGGCAATATCGAATTTATTAAATTCAATATACTGAGTGTTTATATGTTATCATTGTAGCTACATACCTGTTGAATAGTATGGATTTGTCTGTATTTTGCAAGAAAATGGAATATAAAATACATTCCAACCAATTCCTCATCTTCCTTTACATCATAATAGTAATCATTTATTAATTTATTGGTTAATGAATTTCTTCAAAGCAATAAAAACATTGTCCTCTCCATCCGAAAACACAGATAATATGTGTAAGACGTGTCAATCCCTACATCTCCGTAATGCATAATGCAATTTCTATGGACAAAAATTATGAAAATTTCTTCACAAATAAAGTCCAAAAACCATAAAAACTAATAATACTTATTGTATGATTGTCTTCATGAAGAATATTTGAAAAGTGTGAACACCATCATGGTCTGTAGTCAAATTGCAAATGAAGTATCTGAAAATTCTTACATACAGTGGACCTTCGTCATAGTTCACTATCCTGATTATGATCATATTTGGCAGATGTGTGGTTTCATCAAATTGATAAACAAATATAAGACAGCTCTTATATACCTACATACAGCGGATTTTTCATGAAAATTTACTAGGTATCATGATTATAACCGTCTTTGGTAGATTGTTCGATCCGGAATGGAAAAGATCTAGTATTTATGAAAATATTTTTGGTATCATCTAACCGTTGCAATCAGTGCACAAAAACTGTGACATATGATTTATAGCATAACCTGCTGCCCTATCAACACAAATATAACATACAGGTCGCCTAGCCGTGGGGATGCAGTGGTCGGGATGAATATCACGGCAGCAACTGATGACTTGAGCATGTCTGGTGGCAACGTATGAAGTGAAACTCACTAACTTCACAAATTTGAAGATTTTGTACAGTTTTTTTGAAAATGATGAAAGATATGTCTGATTTGGCAAGGTAATGTCGCAGCCAAATGGCAGTCGGTCTTTCTGGGCGCTGGCCAAACAGATTGAAAAGAACTTGTCACACAGTAGCCTTCCACCACGTACGTGTCACGATGGAACTATTGTAACTGACTCGAAGGCCAAGGCTGAAGTGCTTGCCATGATCTTTGCTGCCAACTCCACCATGGACGCCCCCCAACAAAGTTTGTCGCCCGGACTTGAAGACTGAAGACGTGTGCAGCGGAGCTTGCTCCAGTTCTTTCGCGTCTCTTCCAAAAATCTTATGAATCCAGAAAATTGTAAATTTGCTCATGTCCAACCCATCCCAAAAAAAGGATCTAAAACCGACCCTTACAACTACAGGCCTATAGCTCTGCTTTCTGTTATAAGTAAGGTGATGAGAGGTGCATAAATCGCGAGCTTCTGGACTACCTTGAACGTCACAGCTGGATTAGCGACAGGCAGTATGGTTTCCGGCACCAACGATCCACAGGGGACCTGCTAACTTATGTCACGCAATTGTGGAGTAAACTCATCCAGTCTAATGATGAAGCTCACGTCGTTGCTCTTGACATCACGAAAGCGTTCGATCAAAATGTATTAAGCAAACATATAGAATGGGAGTAGTCAAGATAGCTAAATAACCATCGGAGGATTAATTAATAAGCAAAATTATGACACTAATTTTACCAGGCTACATTTATTGATTCCTCAAGGATATCACTTAGTCTTGTTCTAAGTGTTTGCCTAATGACTTGCAAAGTTAATAATATTTTCATTAATCCTCCATCGAAGTCACTGACTCTTTTTCTCTGTGTCTGTCTAAGAAGGTTCATTGGATTATTCTCATTACTTCCATCGACGACATCAACTACTCCCGTATGAAGTATCCTTAACAAAATTACTACATTAATTTCTAATGATACTGCTTTTATCCATCCGACCAACGGAGGACCAGCTGTGTACTGTTCTGTTTCATGTTTATTGACAATGATCAGCATTTGTCACGTTGTGACGACGTGAATATTACCAGACTATTTTACTAAACCTCCAAAGTTAATTTACTCGGACTATTTTGTGACTTTTGTCGGATGTCATTAGTTTCCAAAATTAATGATCGTGAACTCCATGTCATTGCACTTGATTTCAAATCTCAAGGACTCTGAAGGTCACTTTATCATAGGTCGTTGATCCAAGAATGAAATGCAATTTGCTTCAACGTGATCCTGAGCCCGAGAATCATTGACCTTGTTATCAACAGGTATTGATCCTAAATTCAAAAACAGTTGTCATTGAAATAAAGATCACTGACCACAGATTATCACTGACTCTGAATACAATGATCATTAACTTAGGCCCAAAATGTCAGTGACTTTGATTGCAAGAGTCATTGGCAAAATATGGTGGCTCGTGCGAAAATTATACGAGCTGGCAAAGAATTTCTTAAGAACATTAGCTTTTTCAATCTTCCCCAGAGGCTTCCAAACAAGCCCCTTGTTGAGCACGAAATAATTGAACTACCATGTGAATGTGTTTTTTCCTTTGCAGAATGACGAATATACGAGAAACTTGGTGCCTCCACCGGTAGGTAGGATTCCCCAAGAGAAGCAGAAGCAGAAAAACATCCCCAAGCTCCAAGATAACGTCATAGTGCCATCGGTCACGGAAGCAGTGATCAATTTTGATAACTTTGGGGCCATAAGGGGAGCAAGGCCACAGATCCACGAGAACCTAGTACCGTTTGGGACCTTCGGTTTCCCGTCGCATCAGTTCAAACCGAAAGAGCAAGTGTCAGATGTCCAGGTGACCAAGGAACACGTGAAATATCATCATCCAGTCAGCACCGGAGGACTTTCGAACTTCAGAAGTCCGGGTCTCCCAGATTTTGGGTTTGATTTTAGGTCTACGACTAACCCTGCGCAGCCACCAAGGCTCCAAACTTACGAAGTGACAGAAGGTAAATATGGCATATAGCAGTTTAACACGTGAAAATATGAAAAATTGTTTATACAAACCTTGTACCGAAAATTCCCCGGTTCCATAATAAGCGATGTTTAAACTTTGGATGAGCGAAAAAATGGGCCCAAGTGGATTGACTCACGCAATTCTGGACAAATGAACTTTGTATATGCATTATCTGTTTCAACTTTAGTATGCCATGGTATCTTTATTACTATGAAAATCATTGTACCCTAGCCTCAGGCCGTAGGATACAATTACATGAGTGAAAAAAAGCATTGTTTGGCAAAAATTGAAATTGGGGCTTGGAATTTGAATCAGCTTACTTACGTACTGGTATGTTTACTTTTTTTTAGTTATGGAAAGCCATATAGCTGGTCATGTACTAAAATTAATATAATTGAAGAAAAAGTATTGTGACACAATTTTTTTGTAATAATCGTAAACACCTTTCGTATGCCCTGGTTTTATTTACTTGAGGAAAAGGTACTAAGAATAGATGAGATCCTTCATTCCACAAAATATCTTTATTTTCGCGCTTACGTGAAGACTATTCGTTATTTCGCATCTGGATAGCTACAGCCCTAATGTTGTTACCTTATCCGATTGCTTGTATCGGGTTTTCTAATAGGGACTTGACAAATTTGAACTTTCACTGTGAACGCCCTATTAAATCAATTACCGAACTGTCACTGACAAAACATTTAGTCAAGAAAAAATGTTTATCTTGGTGAAGTACACGAATGAACAACGCTTAAAAATAATTAAAATTTACTACCGGAATTCCGAGTCGGTGACGGCAACTTTACGAGCGTTAAGGCCAATTTTTTGTCGTAATTCTCGTCCCAGTAGTAGGCAGTTTGCATTTTATTTAAAAAGAAAGTTATCAAGTCCTTAATGCAAAACCCTTTATTTAATAAATTGTACAGGGTGCGGCAGAGAGGACGGACGTTTTTGGGATGGGTAGTACTCTCCGCCACCGTCTACGAGAGAGGTGGGGAGGGTGACGTTTGACTCGTGAGATCCTAGCATTATTTTACCAGTTGTCTTTATGGAGCCTTGGACGGTGGAGCACTGCGTTTTCGCCTATGATTGTTTCGTCCGAAATAATGAGTCAGTCATCGTCGTACAGCGTGAGTTTCGTCGCCACTTCAACATTCATCGGAATAGAGCTGTTCCCTCGCGAAACACCATCCTTCGTTGGGTTGAATCACTTCGCAGGCGTGATGAACTGATCAACAGAACACCAAGAGGAGCGCCGCGAACAGTTCGAATTCCTGAAAATGTTGAACGCGTTCGACAGGTCTTTCTTCGCAGTCCGACTCGATCTGCCCGGAAACATGCTAGAGTATACGCGAACAAGCCCCGAACTCTGAACGAATTGAAAGGCGAAATTCGCGTGGAAGTCGCCCAAGTTGAGAGAGCGATGTTGGAGAGAGTCTACGCGAAATTCCAAGAACGCCTCCAGCACTGCATCAACGATTTCGGCCACCACATGCCTGATGTGATTTTTCACACTTGACTGTCTCAAATGCTATTTCCTTGTGAACCTGATTCCATCAATAAATTTGTTTTCGAGTAAAAATTAACTATTTTATGATTTTTTTAAAATAGTCCATCCTCTCTGCCGCTCCCTGTATTACCCTAATAGTCACAACTGTTATATCGCCGAGGCATCGATGACCATTTCTCAGGTGTTCAGGTAAATTCATCGCGTTGGTCACGAGAGCGAGCAGTGGTTAGTGCACTTTCTCCAAGTCTTAAGAGCAAATATATGGGGTTACATTTATACATATGAAATATGCCTAATAAATCTCTAGAATTACTGAGCTTAGAAGTTTATATCTGAAATCTCAAAATTTTTCGTTTTTGGCTTTTTTTCTGGCGCCACTGGACCGGTTCTCAAATATCATAAAGTTCTATCATCCTTGACATAGCAGTAACCTTGTGTGAAAGTTCTATCAACATCCAAGCGATACTTCCTAAATTATAGACTTGACAAGGATTAACGGACAGACCGACAGACAGGAAGACCGATGGAAATTAACGGCATGGTATTTCATGATGTAAATGTCATATAACATCTAAAAAATAATATCACGTTTTCCAAAATTTTCATGATTACATAACTTCCTCGGAAGTAAAAACCAAAGTAACAGTCGTTTTCCCAAGGCCATATTGAGCCTCCTTGAATTTCGTTACAATTGTTTGAAATATACCGGCTCAATTACTTCTGTTTGGTGACAATAAACAAACGGAGGTACTTTCAAAACAGTACATCTGAACGAAAAACTCCAAGAGGCATTTTAAGTGTTTAACCAAGTCTGTAAGATGCCACTTTTTCAAAAATCAGCAACGTACTGTTTTTCGTTAAACCCTCTGATGAAAGTGCTGCACAAAATAATCTTGAACATTCTAATGTGACATTTGATAGTACATTTGCGTGAATCGAAAGCCCAACTAAGCATCTCAATTTATTTTCGAGAAATAAAAGGTGAAACTATCAAAGACGGACAAGTTTAAATAATGGAAACGTAGCATGTCTGGACCTAAATTTATATGAACTTTTTCCATGTTTCAACGTTTTGGACCTGATCCATTGTATACTCAGGAAAATGTTCAGAAGATGTGTATTGCATTTGTTGGTATTTTCTCAGGTAAATGGATCGATAATCCGAATCCGTTCACATACAACTTCCAACGTGGTCACACACCTCCTCACAGAGGACAACACGGTACAGCTAGACCTGAGATCTCGCCACAGCCCATCGTAGAACTCAACCTACCTCCTTTCCTTCCGACCCCTTACTCGCCTGAAGGCACTGTGCCCTCACCAACTCAAAGCGACGCCGCCACTGTCTTCTCGCAGGTCAGCCACAAGATGAATAAGTACAAGAACGATCAGCTGACTACGAATCTAATGTTCTTCGATATCAAGGAGGTAAGAAAAATTCAATAAGAGGCCAAACGTTATAACTTTTACTTGCTATGTGGCTTGAAGGAGCAACTTTCTAAGGGAAAAGACAGATCAGCTCATTCTTTAGTGGTCCATCCTGAAAATCCTGTTGGACGTTAAGCATCAAAATTAGCATATTTAACATGACTTACTCAGTATACAACTTCTTCGCGTTCAAGTGATTGTACAGCGTTAAGGAATGTCTCAGTACCGATTGCTAGGTGTCCGGAGGTAAACTCACCCCATTCTCGAAATGATAAAATTAGTTTCACGAATATGTGCGGAATTAACAGCAATATTGACGCTGTTCACCACCACCTGCAGATTCTGCACCGATTAGTCATCTTCCCAAGTTACGAGGTACTTTTGTCCACAGCTGCCTTTCCTGCTCCAGAGAATCAGACCGGAAGAACATTTTCTGGCTTCGCCTTAACTAAAAAACATCCCCCAAATTTATTTGCTGTCTTGATGGCTCTCTCTCTCTCTCTCACTCGGATCATAACTGGAATGATCTACTTTAATAACTCGCAGCAGTCTCTAGCTGGGCTCAAACACGACCGATGCAGCAGGTCGTGTTGTTGAAGCTGGTGACAGCCCTACTTTTTCCACCGCGTTGCGTCACGCGCCAGTAGCCTGCTGGATCTCTGACCACGCATCCTGTCCTTTGCAGCACTGCTGGGTAACTCAGACTACGGTGTTGTGTAAGCTAGATTTCGGTCAGAACCCGCTGTGGCAGTATCTCGCCCAGGCTGCAGAATTTGTCATTTCGGACATGCATACTGGGAGGGGCTCAGAAACTTCATCTCCACCTTCCCTTGGATACGTTTGTGGCCCTGACGCGGATGCGTCGGCTGTCTGTTCAACGATAACCGAAATTATCCACGTTGTGATAGAATAATAATCCCCCCTCCGAGAAAATCTGTTACCCCCGGAATACAAAAGTGTTTTGACGGCAGGTAGACTTTCTCAAAAAGTTATATCTTGCAGTCAGTAGGTCTCCTCTGAGAAAAATTCGTGCGGGCGCCCACGCTGATTCCCGTAAATCAACCGCACGTTTCATCAGAATTCGTTACCTATTTGAATAGTGAAACTGGCTTAAAATTAACTCAACTACCAACTACCAACTTCTGTGAGTAACGCAAAAACAACTACACAATGTATATATAGAACATTGTAAATTCCATCATCATTGCCCGCTGCTTAACGGACACTAACATCATTGGTCCAACCATTTACGTCGCTACCCGGAATATCGCCACTGCCTGTAAACAAACAGACGTAATTTAATTTGTCCTCCGTCAAAAATATGGGGAAAGATTGATGAAAGAAGAACAGGCGTTGGTGAATTAAGCTATGGCAGTTTCGATACAGTGCGCCAGGATCCTGGGCTTTGAAAGTTTCATCAATTTAGCGGCAGTTTGAATCATATTAAAAACCTATAAAGTGCTGTAGCGCTGTTATACCACCGACTTTCCTTGGACGTTTCTAATATGAGGACCGATGTCGTAATTTTGACTTCTGAGCTCGAAATAGCAACAAATATTTCAAGCAGAATACAATATCCCCTATTATCCTTCGACAAAGCCACGAGAATGATGAAAGCCCGTATTTGTGTCTTTGTTAATTTTGTATCTATACCTCGTCTTTTCAAACCTCGCTCACTTCGCGTTAAAACAAACATGGAACACTCGCTCGTCGCTTCTGTTCGCTTGTAGCTGCCTGTCCAGACATTCATGTCGACTGGCGCGAATTGAAACGTCGCACGCTGGTTTGTTTTGACGAGGCATAAATTTGTGATTGGAATACAACTTTAATCCAATTTCGTTTGTTTAAAATATGGTGAAGGAATCATGAAATACGTAAATGCTTTTGGTGACTTCAACGATGGGTCAGGAAACAGATATTCGGAATCGGCAGGGGTATTATCAGTCTAATCATATTGGCAAATTTCCCCGAAATAATTGTAAAGTCTGGTTTTATTGATGCAAGTTGTTCAAGGGGATATTTAAAACACGGACGCATAAAATGGGTACACCAATTTTTGTGGGAAACACTTTTTATTAAAGTGGTTACTGGCTGGAATAACGGTGGGATTTTTGGTTATTATCTTTGCTATTTTTAGGATCTTTTGAGCGTGTATATTCGTATCATCTTTCGTCAATAGTTTCCGGGTTCTCCACTCTAGTCCTCTATGTATGTTCTTACTGTTGTAGCCTCTTTGCTTTTATTAATTTCTTTTTAATCTTTCTACTGTATGAAGGCATTTTATGTTTCCATTTACTAAACAAGTGAATTCATTCACTTCGTGGGGAAGGTTGAATAAGTAGAATAGTTTTTTCTAGACTCTGCCTTATATATTGTAATCTATTCCCCAATAAAGACCTTAAAAATTATTATTGTTATAAGGTTTTTAAAAATAAATCATTATTATTATGTCCCTTGGCGTGCTTGCACATTGGACTCATATTTCGGGTTGCGAGTCACAACAGAACACTTAACGCCCTAGTTACATAAACAACTATCATTATCGTAAACTTCGTTGTTAAAGGTCTCTACGCACTACCCAATCCTGGGCAACCCAGGCTTCGAACCAAATCCTACTCAAACGGACACCCCATTGCCGATGAATGAAAACGGTGAGATTAACGAAATCACGACCCAACAGCGTGAGGAAACAACTACTCAAAGGCCAAAAACAAGGAGGAGAAGGCCACAGCCCAGAAGGACTACTACGACGTCCACCACTACTACAACAGAAGAGCCTGCCAGGTATACAGTGGTAGAGAATTATGAATCTCAAAAGACACAGGTAAGATAATACTGAAGGTATCTGTTACAAAACACAAATATGGAGATATTTAGAATATATTTATTTAATTGCAACCAGCTGTCCTGTAGTATAACAGATGCTAATTACAGCTCGCACATATGCTGGTTATCGATCAAACCAGAATGCAAGTTTTGGCCCCCAAAATATTTGAACAGGATAGCCAACCAGGCATTATAGCTGTATTCAATGAAATACATAATATCTCAAAATTGTTTATGTCCCTACTCGCATTCTCAATTAAGCAAGAACTAGCGTGTGTTCGCACTTTAAAGGTCATTAACTTCCTTATAATCCAGCAAGTATCTTCGCATCTGCTCGGAAAAACATTTTGATTCAAAGGACCTCTTTCAATGAATGTGGATGTTTCCAAGCACCAAATTGCGTCAAAAAATGTTTAAACATATTTTAAGCAAATTTTAGGTTTTTGAGAACAAAAGAGTTGATATCTTCGAGATATAACCGATTTAATATTTGAAAAAGTGCAAAATATCTCATTTTCAGTACCGAAGAACAGTATGAACAAAAGAAAGTTTTAATCTTAAATATTATTTTTCACACATCCATTATCAAAACCCTAAAGCATTTTGGGGAATACTGTTATTGTAAATAGAAAATTTTTGGTGAAAGTTCACCGAATCATATCTACTTTACTCTGCTTAATTTTTTTTCATGTTTGGATTTAAATATCTTATCCATTGGCACAAAGTCCTCCATGAGCTTTAGAGAATTCATATCGGTTTGTAAAACTACTAGGATTACTTTTTTCAAAACAGTCATGCAAATATTTCGTGAGATGCTTTTTTAAGTAACAAACATTTGAGATATATGAGGAATTTTACTGCACAGAAAATTTTATATACGCAGGTTTGAAATTCGTCATTTCTGAGTTATATGATTTTTTATAATTCTTGAACGGACATCTCTCTCAAGTTTCATAACCTCAAATGAAATTACGATTTTGAGATATAACATAGCCGGTACATCTCTTTTGTGGCGTGTGTCAGGTAATATTTGGCCCTCTATCAAACAGAAAAATGTTTATAGCTTTTGTTAATCGGTCTGGAAAAATAATTGTTAGTCCCCCTATAAGTTATCACCGGATCTGGAAGACATTTTGGAAGGTCTGTCTAATAGGATCAGTATTATGACTAAAAAATATATAACTCCCCCAAACTTGACTTCTTTTTTTTCTTTTCTGATGATTTTAGATACGATAAAAAATTTCTTTAGAGGAAACAAGATTGAAAAGAACCAAACTTGTTCTTTTGACAATATATTTTAAGACGTACTCAAGCAATTATTTCAAGGATTCAAAGTTTGTGAAACCCTGCAAAACTAGTTTTCCAAATTCTAATCATCCAGTCACTCTTGAGTGACTGCAAATTCAACAAGAGGTGTATAATGGAGTCTGAGTTGGAAAGTCGGGAAATTGCTGTTGCAATATACAGGGTCGCAGAATTCGACGTCAAGCCGAAACCGGGTGATAGTCAAAGTCATAACAGCTATCAGAAAAATATTTAAAAAAATGTCTGTCTGTCAACTCCTGTTACTACAAATATTAACTTTTTTTGGATTATATTTTTACAATGTAATGATGAATAATGCATCTTCAAATTGGTGTCTCAACCTTACTGCCAACTTTCAGGAAAAATTGCCACTTATTTCCCAACCAAGTATTCCAAAGTAAAACTTTGCTCAACTTTAACTGGCTGTACTGGAAAAAAATGTACTACGAGAGTTTGGCAAGTAACCTTAAAAGTTGGCGCATTTAATAAGGATTCCAAGATTCCACTTAGAAGATTACTCGTTAACTTATGCACAATTTTTATTTGAAGAAAGACTGATGAAAATCTTTCAAAATTTCCTAATTAAACAGCGATTATGAAAACGCACAAGGACCGTTAAGGATAACTGTTTACACAACAGTGGGCGTCAAAATGCTGCTGATGATGATTTACCTTTACAGCAAATGCTCAAACTGTTTTCCTTCAGCCGCAATACACGCTCGACATCTTCTTAAAAAAGATCGGGTTATTAAACGAGCGAATCCACGGTTATTAACAAACTCAGCTGCTTCCAATAAACTTTGTCGTAGCTCAGCTACATTTTGAATCGGCTTGAAATACGCTTTTTCTTTTACAGTTCCCCAGTAAAAAAATCTAAAGGATTCAAATCAGGTGATCGGGCTGGCCACGGTATTGTACCAGACCGCCTTATCCATCTGCCTGGAAGGTTTTGATCGAGATACTCTCTCACTGAGAGTGCATAGTGCGCTGGGCAGCCATCATGCTGAAACCACATGTCCCTGTAAATACTCGGTGGCACGTCCACCAATAAATTTTGTACATGATTTTTCAAAAAATCCAAATAAACTTCAGCAGTCAAAGTCTCTGGGAACTCAAACGGACCGATTATTTTACCATTTAAAATTCCTGTCCAATGGTTTATCTTGAAGCGATATTGAGATTTATCTTCTCTCATCAAATGTGGGTTTGCTACGTGCCACTCGTGTAAGTTATGCAGGTTCATGTACCCATCTTTCTTAAATGTGGTCTCATGCGACCATAAAATTTTTTCAAAGAACTGTGGATCTTTCCTGTGTCTTTCTAACATTGTGCGACAAAAAGCAACTCGGGGCTCATAATCCCGGGGCAGAAGACCTTGAACACGCTGTACGTGGTATGGATGGAGCACGTTTCTTTGCAAGATTCTATGGGATGTACTTTTGGGCACACCTGTTTTTAGTTCTATTGCACGCACTGAAGTACTGGGTCTTCTTTGACAGCTCCTAGCACCACGTCTTCGTAAGGAAGGAAAGATCTTCCCTCACCGTGTGATTGGTTTGGTAGTTGGCCCTCTGAGAACAGTAAGCGGTGCACATTTGTGAACACTCGATGACCTGGATGACGAGCTGCATTCGGGTACCTCTCACAGTAAAGTCTCGCTGCAGCACTAGCGTTGCATCTGCATTCCCCATAAATGAGGTGCATGTTAGCATATTCTTGTACGGTGTACACGGACATAGCGGCACTGCACAATCACACTATCAAAAATAGTCTAAGGAAAGCAAATGTTGTTTTGAAGAGCAATTAAATAGTCCAAATCCAAATCACAAGCGATCAACAGTCCAGTTCACGAATCCAAAATTAGTAACAGTACGAAATCAACAAGCACGAACATGTAAAGATGCGCAGTAAACGAAGGAGTACTGATCGGTATCAAAGTGTGCAATAGCAAGTAAGTGATGTGCTTCATCCATACCACATACAGCGTGTTCAACCTCTCCTGCTCCGGGATTATGAGCCCCGAGTTGCTTTTTGTCGCACAATGTTAGAAAGACACAGGAAAGATCCACAGTTCTTTGAAAAACTTTTATGGTCGCATGAGACCACATTTAAGAAAGATGAGTACATGAACCTGCATAACTTACCCGAGTGGCACGTAGCAAACCCACATTTGATGAGAGAAGAAAAATCTCAATATCGCTTCAAGATAAACCATTGGACAGGAATTTTAAATGGTAAAATAATCGGTCCGTTTGAGTTCCCAGAGACTTTGACTGCTGAAGTTTATTTGGATTTTTTGAAAAATCATGTACAAAATTTATTGGTGGACGTGCCACTGAGTATTTACAGGAACATGTGGTTTCAGCATGATGGCTGCCCAGCGCACTATGCACTCTCAGTGAGAGAGTATCTCGATCAAAACTTTCCAGGTAGATGGATAAGGCGGTCTGGTACAATACCGTGGCCAGCCCGATCACCTGATTTGAATCCTTTAGATTTTTTTACTGGGGACCTGTAAAAGAAAAAGTGTATTTCAAGCCGATTCAAAATGTAGCTGAGCTACGGCAAAGACTATTGGAAGCAGTTGAGTTTGTTAATAACCGTGGATTCGCTCGTTTAACAACCCGATCTTTTTTAAGAAGATGTCGAGCGTGTATTGCGGCTGAAGGAAAACAGTTTGAGCATTTACTGTAAAGGTAAATCATCATCAGCAGCATTTTTACGCCCACTGTTGTGCAAACAGTTATCCTTAAGGGTCCTTGTGCGTTTTCATAATCGCTGTTTAATTAGGAAATTTTGAAAAATTTTCATCAGTTTTTTTCAAATAAAAATTGTGCATAAGTAAACGAGTAATCTTCTAAGTGTTATACCATTTTGGAATCGTTATTAAATGCACCAACTTTTAAGGTTACTTGCCAAACTCTCGTAGTACATTTTTTTCCAGTACAGCCAGTTAAAGTTAAGCAAAGTTTTACTTTGGAATACTTGGTTGGGAAATAAGTGGCAATTTTTCCTGAACGAGAAAAGTTGGCAGTAAGGTTGAGACACCAGTTTGAGGATGCATTATCCATCATTACATTGTAAAAATAAAATCCAAAAAAAGTTAATATTTGTAGTAACATGAGTTGACAGACTGCCGTAGGGTGTGAAATTTCTATATCTTTTTCAAAGACCTGTAATTTTCAAAACACATACATAAAATTTTTTTAAATATTTTTCTGATAGCTGTTATGACTTTGCCTATCACCCGGTTTCGGCTTGACGTCGACTTCTGGGACTCCTGTATTATCTAGAAACATCACAATCAGTGGCGAAGCGTCCATGTAACCATTGTTACCATTGGTAACAGTTAAAAATCTTAAAAATATAAATTTTATGACTAAGTACTGTGAAACAATTTCATTTATTTGTTTACCAACAGCAATATGTAATAGTAATTCAGTAACTAGCAAATTAGCCCCACGAAAATAGTGCACCCTATAATACTGTCTAGATTTTGAGAGCGCGATGAAGCCGACTCGCCTCGACTTGGTTGTTACCATTTTCGTTTATGGATACACTTGATAGTCCGTCGGGGACCATCGGAACCGGCTCGAGTCTGATCGCGGTGGCCAATGTGCTTGGGCCCGCCACGATTATTATATGGGCTTGTTACCATTTTTCGTTTTGGTTACTCACTCGTTAGTAATAGTT